AGTAAAAGAGCATAAGTTCAAAGACTGTTGATATAATCCATCAATTTCCTGTAAAGGGTTACTCAACTGGCGGACAGAGGCAATTTAACTTTTGTCTTATTACATGGTTATTTCTTTGAGTTTGCCCTGAACCTTTTTGTAACACATGCTTTAGCTATATTGTCTCTCGCATATATGTCATAGGTTTGTTAGGCTTTACCAACAAATTAAAGGTTGTCAGTGATTACTTTTCCTGTTTATACTGTAAACGTACTATTTACTTTGAATGATGGAATAGTTGCAATTTCAGAGGCATAAAGCCTTTGGGTTTCAAATTATTAGAGGAATCCTTAGTTAAAATATCTACGGTAAAGGCTAATTTACATGTTACCCATAATGAAGGACAGGTGAAAGAAATATAGTAATCGGGATTGTGCCTAGTTAAATATGGTTGGTAAATAGTTTACCCACTTAAGAACATTGATTATAACTTTGTCTTTCTCTAGCTTTATTCCCTCATGTCCCAGATAATCTGCGATATACTTGTTTTTGTCCTCCTCAGTCTTGCACCATTCTGGATAGCCCGAAGCTTCCTGTTTCATCTTTAAGAATTTATTGATAAAGTCAGTGAACAAGCCCCCGTTTTCAAATGTTGCTACCTGATACTCCCACAACTCATACATGTCTAGTACAATATACCCTTTCTCTACAGCTTTCCTAATCTCATCCATTGTCCAACTCCCAACAAGTGCCCTGTAAACAAAAATAGTTTAATAGAAATACCTACGTATACAGTACAATCTTAACAGAAAGATTACATGATCAACTGGTAACTCCTACATATGAATTACAAAACATAAAACTACCCCTAACAACGCTAACAACTCCCTAACAATCAAATATATATGTATTCACTACCCCTGAGGATTAAACTACGAAAATGAAATGTTTGGTGATTGGTTGGGATCAAACCTTGAACCTCTAGGATCAAGGACTCACACTACAACACCATACAAAAAACGTCCAATCAGAAATGAGGCGTTTAGTGATTGGTTAGGATCGAACCCGTGAACCTCTGGATTTACACTACAACACTAAAAATCATCCCCACCAGAAATTAAGCGTTTAGTGACTGGCTAGAATTGAACCCGTGAACTTCTAAAACTAACCCAATCAGGTTATGATCGAACCCATTAACCTCTAAAAGTAACCCAATCGTGTTAGAATTGAACCCGTGAACCAACCCAAACAGGTTAGGATCGAACCTGTTAACCAACCCAACCGGGTTAAAATCGAACCCGTGGACCTCTAAAACTAACCCAATCAGGTTAGGAACGAACCCGTTAACCTCTAAAACTAACCCAACCGGGTAAAAATTGAACTCGTGAACCTCTAAAACTAACCCAATCAGGTTATGATCGAATCCATTAACCAACCCAACCGAGTTAAGATCCAACTCGTGAACCTCTAAAACTAACCCAATCAGGTTAGAATTGAACCCGTGAACCTCTAAAACTAACCCAATCAGGTTAGGATCGAACCCATTAACCAACCCAACCGAGTTAAAATCCAACTCGTGAACCTCTAAAACTAACCCAATCAGGTTAGGATCAAACCACTTAACCAACCCAGTTGAATTAGAATTGAACCCGTTAACCATCCCAACCGGGTTAAAGTTGAACCCGTGAACCTCTAAAACTAACCCAATCAAGTTAGGAACGAACCCGTTAACCTCTAAAACTAACCCAACCGGGTTAAAATCGAACACGTGAACCTCTAAAACTAACCCAATCAGGTTAGGATCGAATCCATTAACCAACCCAACCGAGTTAAGATCCAACTCGTGAACCTCTAAGACTAACCCAATCAGGTTAGAATTGAACCCGTGAACCTCTAAAACTAACCCAATCAGGTTAGGATCGAACCCATTAACCAACCCAATCGAGTTAAAATCAAACTCGTGAACCTCTAAAACTAACCCAATCAGGTTAGGATCAAACCACTTAACCAACCCAGTTGAATTCGAATTGAACCCGTTAACCTCTAAAACTAACCCAACCGGGTTAAAATCGAACTCGTGAACCTCTAAAACTAACCCAATCAGGTTAGGATCGAACCCATTAACCAACCCAACCGAGTTAAGATTCAACTCGTGAACCTCTAAAACTAACCCAATCAGGTTAGAATTGAACCCGTGAACCTCTAAAACTAACCCATTAGGGTTAAAATCGAACCCGTTAACTAACCCAACCGGGATAGAATTGAACCCGTGAACCTACAGCCCTAACCCAATCGGATTAAAATCGAACCCGTTAACCTCTAAAACTAACCCAATCGGGTTAAAATCGAACCCATTAACCAACCCAATCGGGTTAGAATTGAACCCGTTAACCTACAGCGCTAACCAAATTAGAAATAACATGTTTTGTGGTTGTTTAGAGTCGAACCCGTGAACCTCCAGCGCTAACCCTAACCAAAAATAACACATTTGGTAGCCTTTAGGAGAACCAATTTATGCTCAACAGTAAAGTTCCACTTAAGCCATCTTTTTAAAACGATGGTGATTATAATTTCTTTCGCATTTGTTATATGTAGGTAGAAGTGTTTCTTTAGAGATATGCCTTTTAGTACAGCTAATTACAAAGCATTGTATCAAGTTTCACACTATATAAGATAGAATACAAACTTTGGCATTAATTCAGCTAACCATAGCTGATTTTACAAACAGATTTACATAGCATTGGAGCTGCAACCTAGTAGAGAGTTTTTTAAATAATTTATACTCATTTTATAATATACAATCGAAATAGTATTTAGTTAGAGCCTAGAGTTACATACGACTTACCTCAAATCATTTGTTGAGTAAAATGTTTGTGTAGATGGAGGAATGTATCATAACGGCATCATTATCAAAGATAACGCTATCAATATTGACGGTAATAACATTATCATCAGCAATTGAACTCCGCTAATCGCTATTGGACACCGAGGTTGTTATTTATCTGTATAAACACTGTACCTGTAACTGGGTTTAATAATTAAATAGAAATAACTACATTTACGTAAAGTGAGGTCATGGCGGGAAAGCAGATGGCACAAAAGTGAGGTTATGTGATTTGGCAATACAGTTGGCGGGAGGTTAATTGGTAAAATGCGTACACAATACGTAGAGTGAGGTTATGGCAGAAAGGATTTCACCTTGAGGTTATGTTTAACAACTGCGTATGTGGTCACATGATCGGTTGGTAACACACAATTAAGGTTGTTGACGACTACAATTTACAACACAACTGCTTCCATAGCTGGATGGCTTAAACAATAATCTATCACCTACGAGCCCCGGGGTCGATACCAGCTTATAGCATTCATTTTTATCCTATGATTAGTTTAGTATGTTAAATACCTACATATAATTACGAAAACTACCCTTAACAACCCCCTAACAACCGAAGATACTACCCTTAACAGCTAGGAATTAATTTACTGTATCTACCACCCCTAGAAAACTACCCCTGCCAAATCACCGCCACCCCTACTAGCGTAGTGGATAAAAAAGCTATAAAATGACACCTTATATTTGAAAATTGGCGAAGATTTAAAGAAGTTATGGTGTACCGACAAAAAAACGCTTTAGAAATTATATAGATGAGCAACATTGATTCTAAACTACTTTGTGGCTACTTTAAAGGATCTAATTTCATTATTTTAGGCCTATATTCTTTTGCAAAGAACTGGTAAAACCAGTAAGTTATATTATTTAAAGTAACCATCTCATATTGTATCTGTAGTGCTAACATTTGCTTATGTAGCAGACAGGGGTCTGGTAATGTAGGGTACCGCGTTAGTCTCAGAGGACCCGTCTCCATTATCTCCAACAACAAGCCATTGCCAACGTGACAACCATTTAACTGAAACTATCTATAAAAATATACATTTCGTTAACTGTATGTCCATAGATTCGTTTTGATATGTAACCAAATCATGAATAAGAGAAACAATTTGACAACACGTCGATTCGGGGTTTTTTGGTAGTTTCATCACTAGGGCCTTAAAATGCCTATTTTGGGGACCTTGGGTTTAAGACATTTTGTAAAATATAGATAGCATATTTTACGTAAAGAATTATAAAAGTTTCGTAAAAAAAATTAAATATAATTTCGACAGTAGAACACTTTAAAAGTTCCTCATCCTGCAATGTTCTTTTGGTACATAGAGATTGTATGTCTACTTCAGCATCCAAAGGTCATTGATTGCACGTAAAGAGGTATCAAACGATTACCAGCCTCATCAGAGTGGTGTGAATGTGGGTCAGGTTAAGACAAAGAGCCATCTCCAGACCGGACCTGCAAGTCTCATAACGGAACACACAACAGACGACAGACATTGCCAATGTCAAACTGGGACAGAACAAAAATAAACCAGTTCAACAAAGAAATGTATTGCCATCAAAATTTATGGGTTTGCTTTCTGGTCTCGTCACTTGTTTTGTACCTTGGAATAAATTTTTCATAGTATTCGCATATTCCATTTTTTTTTCAATTTTAGAGAAATAGTGTAACCAGTTGCGGTGGTGAGATTTCTCCAAAGGAATTTAAGCTGATTTACAAAACGGCCGATAAAAGGAAAAATAAACCCATCAAATAACAATATTCCTACATTTTAACAACGTGCATCATCCTTCGTGGTACCAACATAGAACAATAAGCATCGATTTACACTCAGTTTAGTTTTGCCAGGGGATGAAAAAAATGTATTAACCATAGATTTTTCGGAAGAGCACAGCCTACTTAGTTTAGTTTTATGTTGGGTAATTTTTGTAATCAACGTTTTAAATTGTGAACCCTACATATCTAGCATAGGTAGATATCTACTAAATATGAAGAATTGTGCAGAATAAGCTATATGTGACTGCGTTGAAATTCCATAAAAAACAACCTAGCCTCAACTCAAATCTGCAACACTACATATTGGGAATGACACGTTTTGAGTGTTAGCTCTAGATATTGTCCTGAATGTCTTACCTTGAGGTTGATGTGTAGATGGTCGGGGGTGGCTGCAGTAGGAGAGCTAGAGGCAGGACTCCTGGGCAGTCCTAGGTCCTCGTCGTCGCTGGTCTCCTCTCTGGCTCTTCGACGTCGCACAGCGTCTACCAGCTCCGCCTGGAACACGACCCAGGGTTAGTCATGGTGTAGGGGAGGGTACAGAGAAATGTTTACACATTGTCACACCTCGACCAAAGGACCATTTGTCACCAACTCAAAAATTGTATTTATTTTCATTCTCTTCTATGTATTCTTGATTAATTGCGGGACAATGAAACACTCAGCTTAACATGGTTAAGAATCATTAAAGTGGCTATCCAACCTAAGGTCTGGAGTAGAGGTTTAAGGTGGACGAACATCTCAAAACTCTTACAAATATCAACCGGATTGTTCAAAAGTACTTTACTAATTGTAAAATACACATTGCAGTGATAATATTCAAGTTTATTTCCAAAATCCTTCTATGCTACAAACAATACTGCTTGAATAGCTAAAAAATCCAAACTATTTCTTCTGGCCCCTCAACGTCTGTCATAATTCAATAGTTTGATTTTCTTAATTTCTAACGCCAATTTTGTCTTATTTCATACAACTGGAGTCCCTCTCACAGTTTACAGTGAGCAGAAGTATTGTAAGTATGTATTCCACTACTGTAGCCTTAAACCCCTGAGGAAACCACGCAATTCCAATGAGCGAAAAACGAGTCGGAAACTTAACCTAATCGCTTTTTTGTTAAGTATTTTGAAGATGCCACGTGAACGCTAATATATACAAATTAGTTGGGCCAGATGCAAATTATCGGCACAAAAACTCCAATGTAAATTATATGCAAATTTATGTAAATGGTCTGCTTGGTAAAACCTGCCGGAACTGTGTTTGTAAAACTTTAAATTGACGAGGAAACCTTGCTACTTGTAGCAGTCGATGCGTTATTAGCTAATTAGCCGGTTTACATTAAAATTATCAAGTTTTAATAATTATTTAAAAACAATTAATCATTGATGAGTTAATATTTAAACTGCTTTGACGACAATATATGTACATTAATCATATGTCAAAAAACAAACCAGCCCAATTGACGGTACATTTTGAGCTAGAAATGGTGGTTATAGGATTGAACTAATACGAACAAGGCTCTAGTAATAATACACGTTTAAAAAACGTTATGCAACGAATTGTGAAATTTGATGAGAAAAATCTCTTGTGTTTCTACCCTCATCCCTGGACCAACCTCGAGGTGTCTTTTGGGTCTCTGCTCACAATTCAACCACTTTAAATAACAGTACTACATAGTATAAAACACAAATGTAATATTATTAAATGTTTAAACTTGAGATTGCGTAAAAAAAGAGTTATTTTAATCTAATACAGCAACACCAGCAGCGATATATTTTTTGTTTTTATATTTTATGCTGAATATGCATGTAGGGTGAAAATACAATGGAGTGTATGGTAGGCCTATATGCCATAAGAACAGATGTTTCTTCAGCCAGATAAAAAAGTCACGTGAAAAATCATAGTTATAAAATGATATATGTAATCATAAAATCATTTGAAAAATCAAATTATCAAGGGTAACTGGATCTAGTTTCCAGCAATCAAATAATCGCAGACTTGACACAGGATCGAATCGGCAACCTTACGATTGTTATAACGAGCCCTACAACAACCCTGCTCACATCGTTCAAACTTATATTTTTTAGTACCTAGTGACTAGATGTAATTATATTTTATATTGCAAGGCTACATCAGCAGCAGACGACGGAGATCAGCTGATGACCTTGAAGACGGCTGAATCAGAGGGTAAGGTCAAGGCCACGCAGCTGTCTGGACGTTGTGGTACAGAGTGTATGCTCGTACCACGGAATAAAGACAGATATTCATACTCTTTGAATCCATACTAGAAAATTGCAATTTGACAGCTTTACGAATTTGAAATCCAACATTATTTTAATAGAACATCGTTTATAGAATATCATACATTGACTAATTACAAAAGATTAAAAACAACTAACTTGTTTAGGAACAGTTGAAAGTTTTATCCATATAACAATTGTTTTATTAACTTATTTCGTCACTAGTTCTAAGACTACGAACAGCTGAATAGCGTCGTTGGTTTATACGGATTTTATCCAAAAGCAAAATCCAAGAGATACACCATAAAACATTTACAGAAGGCTAATGCTATAATTTAATTTATTAGAAAATAGATAAAAAAAAACTATGCAATTTTATGAGGTTTTATAATATCAAAGATCCACTATGTAAAACAGCTTTTGGAATTTTATAATATGGCTTTTTATAGCATTATCTGGTTCAGTATAATGAACATAATACACAGCAATTTTTAAAAATATTTTAGGAATAAACTGTGAAAATATGATAAATTTGAACACGTTGAATTTTTTTAGGTTTCGACCAATAGATGTAGGGCAGGTCTTCAACGTAAACTCGTATTTGTGTTGTTTCACCAGGATTTAAAGCAAGTGACCAAGAATCACTGATTCAAGTCTTCTGAAATTTGAAGGTGGATTTTTTTATCGAACGTCGAGATTTTATACATTTTTGTAAACTGATAAACTAATCAAAGCGGCCTCCAGAGTGAAATTTGGTTATCTAAGATCGACCAATATAGTTGATAAATGTAACCAGTGATATTTTCCGGCTGTCAAAATCAAGTGGCTAATCTTCGGTTGTAAATTTAACGTAGCGGACCAGCGGAGTCAGGGAGTCGCATTATAAATCAGAATCAGAAATGGAAGAGCTGGTGCTGGTGGGCAGAGCCGGTGCTGGTTGATCGTACCGTTACAATACAGGTTTGTGTGGACGCCTGCAGCAGGTGTGCTGCAACGAGGCGGGCTGTGCGGACCAGCTGGTAGTGTTGTTGTGATTGCAGGCGTCTTATATTGTTAACTTTGAACGCGGAGAGTAAATACAAATACGTCTAATAACACTCGAAACATACATTTAAACTTATACTATTTTAATAAGACGCTAAATACATACACAATGATGATGGTGATCGATTTCGATTGGACACTCCAATCATTATCAGACCCATTAGGCGAATTACACATGACATTGAACAGTGCAAGCAGACCGTAAACCTCATGTAATACTATTGTAAAATTCCTAACATATGATAGCCTACATCATACAGGATTTTTGTAAAATTAAATTATTAATCTAAAGCCTGCTTTAATGTGCGTTTCGTGTTGGTAACGATTAGAGTGCATTGATGTTGGGTAAAAAGTTTTTTTTTTATTTTAAGGTAGGTTTATAAAGATAAATCAATGAGGGAGTTTACGTTTAATATATAGAAACATAAAAACTCATATACAGTTCAGTTTAGGTTGGTTATTTATATTTTACTTTTGTTAACTAAAGAAAAAACATTGTTTGCTTACTTTAAGTCAATGGTGCTACGAAGTAATCACACTATCGAAATACCCTAGAAAATCAGAATCGTAATTTTAATTTTTGTATGCAACTCTGAAACGCAAACAAACATGGTTTGAAAAACAAGTAAATTGATTAACGTTATTAAATAAGTTGCGAGTTCTATTTGCCAAAATATTGACAGTAAATTGCAATAATTTTAAAACTATGAAATGTATACAACTCTAAGATAACCTCATTCTAACAACATAATTCATGCTAAAAATATGAAATATAATTGTATAACGGTAAGTTATCGTACGTAACAGGATAACTTACAAAATCTCCTTACAAGAGTGAAGCCAGTGGAAGGCAATGCGCAATGGACAATGGGCAAGTCTTGGCCTGACCTACACAGTACACAGTGACGAATCTGTTGTATATCGACTTATGTTGATGAAATTATGATATATTATACCGTTGTAACTTATTAACTTCAATATTTTTGGAATGTATTATTTTTTATTTTCTGACTTGTATCCTTCTTAAAGGAAACAAGGAAAAGACTGCCAAAAATTATTTAGGAAATAAGAAAATTATAAAACTTGTGATATTGTAGTAAATTTTCTAAAGTAATAGTTTTCAGGGTGAAAATTGTTTGTCGACATATTCACAGAGACAAACAAGATCAAACCGCAGCATTAATTACATCGCGAGAGTAACAATACCCTAGGGACACCTCAGGGCAGTTAGGGACTTAAAGGAGCCATAATGGCTTTGAACACCTCATATCTTAGCGAAATTGGAACCCATTAGGATTAATGGGCACGGGATAAACTATATCACCAAGGGAGACGCATATTCTTGTAACTTGGACTTTGGCTTTGCAATGTAAGGACCAGTTTTGTAGCTTAGCAAACATTTTTATCCATGAAATCATAATAGGGAAACCCTCTCATAAAATAAGTCATATCAGATGTCAATGGGCTATCTACTATTGCAGTTGAAAAGTTCAGAATTTATAGTGTTTGTTTTCGTATTATTGGTGGATACTAACATGACGAAATACTATTCAAAAAGTTGTTGTTGTATTTTGAGACGATGTAAAATCCGGTGTATGAGATAGTTTTTGTTTTCACGCAACACACTCTGCCGGTGGCTATTTAATATGCAAAATTTATAATTCGATGCATCGAAGTTTATATTTATAGTCAACAATTACTTAACACACATTAACATTAACAAAAAACATTCAGTAGGCTAGTTAAAATACAACTTGTAGATTACTAAATTAATTACGTGGAAAATTGTTGTTGTTGAATTAAACACCAAAATTGGTTTACGTATACAACAACAACGTGGTATAGAGCTCTAAATGGGTCCAGTGCTTTGAAAAATTCTACTAACAATGGGTACGTTTCTATACTTAATTATAATGGTGGATACTTTGCTTAAAATAAGTTATATATTATATTGAGAGATAAAATTAATATAAAACTCGTCGAATTGCTTCCTACAATCAAAACCATTAGGGTACAACGATATTACGGCTGCAAACAATTCCAAAGAAAGCGTTTAACACAATCGTCTAAAGGGTTAAACAAAACGTTTTATAATATACTGTACATAATATATAGGGATACATTATACGTTGTCCCTAAAAGAGAAGAATCTGCATGGAGTGTAAAGGACAAAACTCCCGATTAGATTAGCAACAAAACGCATAAGCTCGATTGACA